GCCCCGGGACCGATTAAATACCGGGTTTCGGTACCCATCCCTAATGAGGAGTCTATTGGACTGACTCCCTTTTGGAGCCAGCCTCTAGCAAATTGCAGTTTTAGTCACTTCCGTGTTTATTTTCACTAGAGAGACCGGAAGGTTGCCACTTGGGCTAAACGCAGCCCTGACTCCAGCGCAAGTAGCTTCGTGTGCTACTTTCATTTCAATGAAAGTCTGATGGTATAAAACTGACATCTTATGGTTAAACGTTACTTAAGAATAGCAAATCAATTTATTTATAGTTGGAACTGTTTACATTATGATTTTAAATAAAATACTATTTCAATTAGTAGGCCACTGACCATCTTTGAGTTGGGTTTGGTGTAACGTTACGTACGTTAAAAAGTTTTACATGCAAAGTTATATCGAATATAATTCATAACAACAATCTCAAGTTACTAAAAACTTTCAGACAGACAGTAACAACTCAAAAAATAGAAATGGCGTGTCAGTTGGCAATTTTAACTAAGCAACCGTCGTGTTTTGTTTAGCAATGCGTGTAAGGCTGCTTAGCAGAGTGAGATCTTGTTGTGTTGCCATGTCCGCTTATTATAATAATCTCTGAAATAGTTGTTTTGCCTTGGCTGAGAAAGTGACCAATTTTATAGAGTAATTAAAGTAGGCAGGTGCGGGTTGCTATATTTTGATCTTTTTTGGAAATTTCGATTATCTCCCTGTATGCTGAAGGTAGTAATTATGACGGTTGGGAAGATAGTCCACCCACATCTGTTCATTTACTCTCTGATGCACATTAAACACAAAACTTTACTAATCAAGCTTCAATCACACTAACTGACAACATCTTGCAACAAAAAAGTCATTACCTTTTTGGGGGGTTTTGGTTTACACAGTGCTGAATCAGATCTGTCATTCTCCCAGGTTTGGTCTGCATTAATAATTCAATGTTATTTTGCGCTGTGTGTGATATATTATATTATATATTATATGTGTGTGTGTGAATATATGAATTGCTTGCTCTCCTGACCTGTTTTTCTACATTTCCTGCAGATGCAGCACATCACAACTGCAGCTACAATCAACAGAGATCCAGCAGCAGAGATCAGCACTATGTACAATAATGGTAAACCCTGATCTGTAATGACAAAATGAGCCATTAGTGTGACTCAATCTGTCCATCTGATCTACAACAAATACTTTGAAACATAAGCACTATATAATATGTCAGTGCTGCTGTACCTGAACCTGTGTGACAGAGTTTGCTGATGTCCAGATGTTGAGTCTGGTTGCTGATGGGATTGTTGAGCACACAGCTGTAGGTGTTGTTATCCTGATATTCCACCTCCAGAGGTAGAGAGAGACTGATGCTGAGATCAGACACACTGATGCTGGACAATAAACTGTTTCCTTTGTACCAGGAGAGAGTCACATGACTCACATTCAACACTGAACACAACAATGAACAATTCTGCTGTGATGATGATGAAAGATTTTGTGAATAATCTCTGGTAATGTTAGGAGTGGGCAGATAAGCTGAAAAATATAAGAGAATAAACAGACATATGGACACATATAAACAATGATATTGGTGTAGTCTGTTGACAGTCAGTGATTGTTTATGTCATTTCAAACTATAAAATGATTAAACATTGCAATATTTAGATGAAGACGCAGTGGCAGTGAATGGGGCCGATCTGTAAAATTTTAAAGGGGTCCTATTATGCTCTTTTACAAAGTCTTGATTTTGTTTTTGGGGTGTACTAGAACAGGCTCTCATACTAGGTTGTTCGAAAAACACGTTATTTTTCACATATTTTACATTATTACAACACCTCTCTCCCCAGTCTGGCATGAAAGGCTCAACCAGGTCTCCTCCCATTCGTCGGTAGGCTATTTGTGATATTACAAATCCCGGAAAATATGCGTTGTAGTTTTTGAAAAGTGCAGATCTTTTTTTATGCTCAAACAGCAACATTACAGACTAACTAAAGTTGAAAAAGTGAAAACGCATAATAGGACCCCTTTAAAATGCTCACAGGGTTGATAGTACAGCTATACACAAACAAAATGCATGTTGAAATGATTTTAATATGAAAAAAGTCAACATGTTATATCCATTTTGATAACTTCATCGCTATGGCAACATAATGTCCTAAACCCTAAAACGCTATAGTGACTATAAAATGATAATTATAACAGCTAATAATACAAAAGTTTTAACATTAGAATTACTGTAAGTGCTTTTATAAAATGTAAGTTCTCCAAAAATTTGTCCCATTCACGTCAACAGAAAGTGTACTTTCTGTAACTCTCTGTAACCTCCAAACGAGGTATGAGTCAAATTTATTTATTTATTTATTTTTGTGGTAATCAAAATTGTACTGACGATTGAGCTTAACATGTACTGAACCTGGAAAATTCCTAACAGAAATATTTGGATATTAGGGACGAGACAAATGATCTCTACTCACCATAGACAGAAACACTGAATGCTTTTGATGACAGTTCAGCTGCAATTATCTCTAGTTGATAGAGTCCAGCGTGTTCAGATGTGATGTTTGTGATGGTCAGAGATCCAGTTTGATCGTCCAGCTTCAGTCTGTCTCTGAATCTCCCATCATTATATGTAAAGAAGATTCCAGCAGCTCTATTTATTTGAGCTATCAGAGAGTTTTCAGATTCAGAATTCCACATTATTTCATCATCTTCATGTATTTCAGTAAGATCAGTGTGTAAAGTAACATAATCTCCCTCCATCACTGACACTGACTCACCAAACACACCTGATGAACATGAATATAGACAGATTTGTTGACTGTTAGTTTACGAAGCCTGAAATCAGTTTGTAACATTTCAATATGAAATAATGAACAGCAGTAGCAAAACAAAGCAAAACAAAAGGTGACGTATGAGAAATCTTGAATGTATTTTAAAGTTATCTCCTCTAAAACAAAATAAATATGTGATATGACATGTCAATTTAATAACAGCCGAGTGAAACTACCAATTTAATTCTGATGTAGTCTTTTAATAGTTTCATACTTCTATGTTTGGGTCATTAAACAGGCTCTGTGAAAAGAGATGTAAATCCAGAGTAGATCTCGCAATAATATATCAGTTTGGTTTGAGTTTTATATGGAAAGAACAGCAAAGACACATCGTTTTACTAATTTGAAATGGCTCAGCAAAATTACTCTGACTTTGAAAAAAATAAGCCATAAAAATGATTATATCTTACCAGTCAGATTCCACCAGCACAAACAGAACAAAAAAAGCATTTGAAGCATGTCCTTTATTCGTTCAGTGTCTGATCTAATAAAACTACCTGCTGAAAACATTTGTTCATCTGGTGTGTGAATCCTCCTCCGACAGAGTTTGACCCACCTAGTTCAGACGTGCACAAACTGAAAGTATGTCATGTATAATTACATATAATATAGGCCAAAAATATTTCTGAATAAGAGCCAGAAGAACTTTAACTGTTAGTGGTGGTAAAGAATCTTTATAAAATGGAAAACATTTGTATCATTTAATGGTGGTTTTTGAAAGGTAGTTGTTGCTGAATATATAGAGGTAGAAAAGTAGAAACATTTGTATTTGAATATTAGAATAGTCAAATTGAATTTAATGATTAAAAATTGCTTAAAATGGTTTTATGACCATTCAGTTGTTGAAAATTGCATTGCCAGTCTGAGGTGTGAAACTCAGCTCATCTTCGTAGTCAAACTGAAACCTACTGCGTGCGGTCGTGTTTTTTTTTTTTCTTCCACCGATGCCTGTTTTTTTTTTTTTTTTTTCAGAAACGTGGTTTGATCTGTTAGTTTTACAAAAGCTTGCTAGTGGCCATTGGTTTGATGTGAGTGTAGTTTGTAGGTGAAGAGTTCCTTCCTGTTCTGCCATTGTGAACCTCACATTTGATCCCCCTCACAGAACTATACCTAAAATGTATAAAAATAACACATTTTTAACATTTACAAGAATTTGGTACCTTTTATAAAATATTATATAAAACAAAACATTCTAACATGTATTTATGATTTAATCCCATGAAGAGTAATATTTGCACACTAAACGCACTAACTTCATTACCTTTGCAAGAGTCAATAAACTGCAGAACACCTGCAATACAATCATTGGTTGAAAACCATATATAAATGCGAGCCTTCACTCTTAAAAATAAAGGTGCTTAAAAGGTTCTTCACAGCGATGCCATAGAAGAACCATTTTTGGTTCCATAAATAACCATTCAGTCAAAGGTTCTTTAAAGAACCATCTTTCTTACCTTTTTATAATCTGAAGAACCTTCTTTCGCCACAAAGAAACTTTTGTCAAACAGAAAGGTTCTTCAGATGTTAAAGGTTCTTTATAGAACCATTTAGACAAAAAGGTTCTTCTATGGCATCGTGAAGCACCTTTATTTTTAAGAGTGTTGAGTGAGATGGTCAGATGTTCTGTAGACATCTTGGCATTGCTGCCACCTTGTAATAGTGTAATTTTGACTTCTCGAACTCTGCCTCCTGAGTATTATTTTGCAAGACAGAAGAAATCTTTGCTCCACAACTTTAGTGGGCTACAACTGTGAGTACATAAAAGTGTGTGTAACTTACATTGTACAGCAAATGTCCAATTAAGTATTGTAAATTAATAGTCACCAGAGAGCTTGTTTTACTTACTCTCTTACTCTCCAGAGGAAGGTGGATAGGGAAGATGTCGTGCGACTTCCATTGTGCAACACTTGGGTAACTCGATGTATAGACACCCCAGGTAACAGGTGAACGCCACCCCCCTGTATGCTTACTTTTATTAGTTGAGAGTAGGGAAGTATACGGTGCTTAAGATGTTGTTTTCTTTTCTTTCTCTTTCTCTTTCTTCTTCTAATAACGTTTTATGGCGGATGGCAAACCAACTTCTGGTGCATTTACCGCCACCAACTGGACTGGAGTGTGAAGCACTTATAAGCAACTACTGTGTATATATATATACAGTATATAATAAAAATAAGTTAAAAAAAAAAAATTCTCCTGATTAATCCTATATCTTTAATGTATTTTATAACAGCACCATATATTTTTCCTTGTTCTGCATGCTCTTTCAAAAGGCTTGTCAAATTAAATGATTCAACACCCATGTTTCTTACTTCCTTAATGAATGGATAAAACCTTTCTTTTTCATATTTTTTTACATTTTATTAAAACATGCTCTATTGTTTCTGCCTGATTACAATAAATACATTGACCGGTTTCATGTTTTCCTATATGAAACAGAGAGTGATTTAATCTAGTATGCCAAAGCAAAGTATTTGTATTCTTTATTGTAGAATTTTGGTTTCATAATGTAAAAACCCCTTTTTCCTTTGTATTTATCGATTTATTTAGGTTAATTTTTTTTAATTTATAAAATAAACGTTTTTATTATTTGATATGTTGTATAGTAATATGAAAATCGAGTGTAATCTCAGTCTGTGTAAGTATTTCAGTTATTAATGTCTTTTTGTTGCTGTTATGAAGAAGGGGGAAAAAATAATATTTTGTTCCCAAATTCTCATGCCTCTTTCCAGGTTTGTTTTTATGCAAATGCTTTAAAACTTAATTGTCTCCCTTTTTCACCTCTAATCCCTATCAGTCTTGTTTACTGGAACGCTGTCAAAATAATGGAAATCGTAATGAATAATAACGAAATATTATCACTCAATTTTAACGTTAATTAACATTTTTGATTAAGGCAACATATTAGGAATCCTACGTAATATATATATATATATATATATATATAGCCTACTGCAGTGATATTTAATACATCTGTAATCATATGTGCTGATTCACCGCTCCCCAGCGGCGAACTATTGAACAAGTGTCTTTTACCTGATCTCGGATCAGTTATATAAATCAAATGGGATAGTAGTTAGTCTCTTATTGGCAAGGGGTGCGTTTGCCAAAAGCAACTACGGTCCCAAGTTCCGCCGTTACTAAAAGAGTTCAATGGAACTTGCCAACATATAATAAGCCTACTACAAACAAAACAAACCCTGAAAATAGAAAAAAAAAATTATTAGACACAATATTTAATGGTATTTGATGATTAATTAATTGCACATGATAGATTATACTTTCAATAAAACATTTGCAATGGGTTTGTAAAAGCTGTTGCATGCTTGGCCTGAGTTTTTGAGGAATAATTTTGAGTTTTAGGAAGTGACGATGGATCAGGAAGTGAACAGGAGTTAGAATGGATGGAGCTGGTGAGGGAGGTAGGACTGGAATGGAGTGGAATCTAGTAAATAGGAAAAGGAAAAAGTACATCAACATAATACGGATAGTGATGATGAGGAAAGTAGTCGAAGAAACATGGAAAGGAAAGAAGAACATAAGGTTTTCATTAAATCTGAAGTGCCTGGATCAAAGAACCCATTAAAGATAATGGAAGCACTCAAAATGAAACTAGGGAACATTAAGTATGCAAAAACACTACGTGACGGAAATATAATGCTAATATGCAGAGATGAAAAGCAGAGAGAAAAAGCATTGCGATTTAAAACACTGGCAAGTAATTCAGTAAAATGCTCAAAATGGGAAGAGAGGAAAACAACTAAAGGTGTGATATATGGAATTCCAACAGAAATATCAGAGGATGAGATTAAAGAGAGCTTAACTGGAGCAAAGGTTAAGTGAGGAAAGACAGTTTGTCTGTAATGATCCAGTTCGAAGAAGTATTGCCAACAAGAGTGATGGTTGGGTTTATGAGCTACAGTGTAAGGGAATATGTAACACCCTACTAAGGCAATATTTAAAAAAAAAGTTGGGAATATGGAAAAAGTAATATTAAGAATATTGGACAGGAAATGGAGGAAATAGCGGAATCAATAAATGTAAAAAATATATAAAATTCAGTAATACAGTACACATGTCAGCAGTTCCACCGTGGATGTTTGTAACGCCTATAGTAGATCTTTGTTTAACAGATGAAGTGAAGAAACAGGATTGTGACCCAATAAAAATAAGAGTTAATAAATATATGGATCAGAAATATTATGATATGATACAGATATTTACAGATGGTTCAAAAGATCCAGAAACTATGAAAACAGGAATAGCATTAGTTATTCCGCAATATGAAATAGTTATTAAGAAAATAACCCTGGATTTTTTTTTATCTGTATTTACAGCAGAGTTGGTAGCTATTGTTATGGCTCTCCAGTGGGTAGAGGAAAATAGAATTAAAAAAGCAGTAATATGTTCAGATTCATTGGCTGTGTTAAAGAGCATTCAATCAGGCCAGTCTAACTGCAAACAAGATATCATAATTGAAATACTGCAGTATATGAAAAATCAGGGCATTTTTATTTCATTTATTTGGGTTCCAGCACATGTTGGAGTTGAAGGAAATGAGAAGGCAGATAAGCATGCTAAGAATTCTTTGAACTTGAATCAGATAGGAATTGACATAAAAATTAGTAAGGCAGAAGCAAAAATAATAATTAGGAAAGCTCTTATAAATGCATGGCAGAAACTTTGGGAGAAAGAGAAGACTGGACGACATCTATATAGAATTCAAAGAGGGAAGTAGGAATACGTAACAATGACATGGGATTAAGAAGACGAGAAGAATCAGTAATAATAAGAATTAAAATAGGACATACTGCATTAAATTGAAATCTAAATAGAATCAAGAAACATCCGAATGGATTATGCATGCATTGTGGGATTTTTGAAACTGTAGAGCATGTACTGTTGCATTGTAGAGCATATAACAATGAACGACAAATGCTAGAAGCTAAAGTAATGGAAGAAGGTGGAAGCATGATGTTAAAAGATATATTAAGTAAGCTAAAAAGGAATAAGAAAATTAGTTTTGCTTTGTTAAAATATCTTAAAGATACAGGAAATTACATCATAATTGTTATTTATTTGTTAATTTAAATATTTATTTATTTTTATGACTATTAGTATTATTATTATTATCATTATCATTATTATTTAGTATGATATCTATATACATGCATCGATGCTCCACACTCCAGTTCAGATGGTGGCGGTAATGCACTAATAAGCTAGTCTGCCAACCGCCAATAAACATTAGAAGAAGCAGAAGAAGAAGAAGAAGAAGAAGAACGCGTTTTTGTTGCGTTCACACTGTTGTTGACCAGCAGGTGTCGCAATCATATGTTTCGAACGCTTCTAAAAAGCTGAGTCATTTGTGCTCAAGCTATGAATTTTTTTTCGCACAAGTTCTCGTAAACCTTACATAATTCGCGCAAAGCGTCATGGGGGAGAAGGTGGATATTTGGAGACGACTCTGAGGTGCGTATTTGTCAGTAACGTTAGAGGTAGCCGTGAGGTGGTGAAGAAAGACGGTTTCGAGCTTTTTATTAAGTTGTTAGCGAGAATATTTTTTTCTTTCTTTCTTTTTGGCAAAATACGACAGAAAGCTTCGACGCAGAGCTTGAATTTAAAGTGTTTTATTCACGCAGCAGATTTTGCTTACGCTGTTACTTTCACTTTGTTTTCGTCGACCCAACCGTTTTATTTCCATAGAATCCGCGTTCATTTTTTTTCAACGGGAAAGAGATGAAAAATATAATTACTTTTTTGGTAGGACATATATGCCTATTTTTCGTGCACGGTAAGACATTTATTTGTTACAGTCGCTTGTGATCACCGGGGAAAAAACGGGCGTGACCCAGTTTAATTTCGTGAAACTTAAACTCAACTGTACTACTATTCCGTTGATTATTTTTGTTTCATTAGTGCACCAATTGTTGTTTTAAATAGTTAAGGGTTTAGAATGTAATTTTTATGTTTCTGACCGGATCAACAGTGGCGTAATAATCAGCGTCGACCCTGGAATGAAGTCCTGCAGAGAATTATCTCCAGTCCTAATCAAACACACTGATCACGGTCGAAGGGTACTATAAAGCTACAGACAGAGTTTTTTTTTTTTAATCAAGGCTTGAGCAAAACTCTGCAGGACTGACGTTGGCCACCGTGGCACTGCCAAGATGGCAGCCTGGACATAAAATAGGGGCCATTTCTGAACTTGCGCAGTGTTTTCACGACACGTCAATCCGGAAGTCGGCCACATAGCGGTGCTGAACATAAACAATATGCAAGGGCGTAGTGAACTGTTTTTTCATAAGGTTTATTTATTTGTTTGTTTGCTTATATATTTATTTTTGTAAAAAGGTATTTTGTGCTATCATTCACACATGCAAAGTTGGTTAATAACCCTTACGAAAATTAACCATGGTTTTACTACAAATGAAACGAAAAAACCATGGTTACTATAGTTAAACCATGGTAACCACAAATTAACCATGGTCTTGCTACACTAACCATAGTTTAACCATGGTGTTTGTAGTAAAATGGTTATACAAATGGTAATCAATGCGAAAAAAACAAAAACATGGTTACTACACTTTCACTATAATACAACCATGGTTAATTTTCGTAAGGGAACATAACCAACAAAATCAAGAAAGTAATAGTCAAGTTAACAATTACTAGTTTACATAGGATATATAATATATTTGATATTATTTAGGCATTTACGGTACTGACAGAATGTTCTTATTCAACATGCCATGGGAAGTCAATTTAATATTTTATTATATTGATATTGTTTATTTCTTACTCCAGTTCATCAGGCTCTTAATGATTCAATCTTTGTCAACTCTTGGAATATGTGAAGGCCAGGTTTTTCCATCTCGCGCAAATCTTATCACACTTTTCGAGAGCGCTGGTGAACGTGCGCAGAGTAAAAGCTGTTATAAGGGTTGTACTTGATGGTTTTGGTTATTGGGGGTTATTATCTCCCCCCCGACCCCAAACTACGCCCCTGACAATATGCCACTAAACTGAATGGAACTCTTGTATGGGCTTGGCAAAAAAGCGAAGTAGGTTTGCAGGATAAGAAATGGAAGGAATAGTTGTCGGGTCGTCAGTCCACGACAAAGGAGCCAGCTCGTATGGATACCACCTATTACAGGGCTTGACAATATGGACTGCCTGATTGCCCTAGGCCAGTGGTTTTCAATCCTGGTCCTGGGGACCCACTGCTCTGACATTTTGTATGTCTCCCTTATCTGACGCACTCAGCTGAGTTCATGGCATTCTCACCTAATGAGCTGATGATCTGAATCAGGTGTGTTAAATAAGGGAGGCATACAAAACGTGCAGAGCAGTGGGTCCCCAGGACCAGGATAGCAAACCACTGCCCTAGGCCAGCATGAAAGAAAAATAATGATTTAATAATTATAAAATAATCATTTCTGCCATAATTATTCTAAGGGTGTTTTCACACTTGGTTCGATTGCTTGGTCCGAACCCGAGTTCGATTGCGAAAATTGTCGAACCCAGGTGCGCACCAAAAGTGTTAGTGTGAAAGCACCCTAAAGCACCATTTTACAGAAATAGTGTTTAAAGAATAATGCTAAAGTGAACAAAATATTGGTAATTCTAACCTTACGCTCATAGTTTTTAATAGAATACATCGCATCTGGTCGGGCAGTCGCATACTGTCTAGCTGCAGAAGTTCAAATATTTTAACGCATCCGCAGCTCAAATTAGATCCGAATTTTCCGCATATGATCGGAACTCCACGCAGCTCCCGCACTACTCTCCATTCGAACACTTCTATGATGTATTTCCTGTATTTGGCCCAAGTGTTCAAGTGAGCATGTAGACTACAAGTGTGTGTCGAACTTTTCATTACCTGATGGGACACATTTGTAGTGTTGTAAAAATGCAAGTGTTTACATAGCTTTGTTTTCATTGAAATTTTAAATACTTTGCATTTTAAAATCAACTTCTAAATGTCTGATCAAACACGTGCGTTCTGCGCCTGCACGAGAGGACTTAATTGTCTATATCAGCAGCTGTCAACAGTAGGGCCTATGTATTCGTCATTCAAAACGAGAAACTGAAACAAGGATATACGAAACGTAAACAAAGCAGGGCTTGCTTACCAGTTTGAATATCAGTTATGGTGATAACTTTCTTCATTTTAAGTGGCTCATGTTGTTATGAATTTAATCAGTATCTAAAATTTTGGTGTCCTAGAAGTTTATTTATTAGGAAAAAAGATAACATGGGTCAAAAACAATGATAAAAGCAACTATTTTATTTTCTTGTGGCAGGGCCGGTAGAAGAAAAATCCTTAGTGTTGAGCCCTGTATTAATTTTAGTTTGTCAAAATATCACACTGTTTCCTGCTTACTAAGTCCTTCTGTATATGATTTAGCAGCTTTCACACATTTTTTCCACAGTTTAGATATCATAAATTAGTAGAACAATGTCTTCAGTTGTACATTAACTGCAATCCATGCTGTTGTTTACACCCAAGTATTTCTAAAATGGCTGCGCATCCGACGTAGGTGCAAACACTCTATTTGGACAGTTTCTTACATATGTTGATTATGAACTGTATTTGATTATTTTGTTTCTACATTGGGTTATCATGACTTTAGTCATTGACATTTTTTTTTTTTTTTGCTTCACCATGGTCTGTAAGCGGGACTTCGGCTGATTCAAAAAAGTGAAAAATGCTATCGCTATCATTTAGAATAAGTTCTTAAATTTTGCTATTAATTAGAGCTTTTGTAATCTCGCCAATAAATCAACATGACAGTTAAAACTTTTTTCATGATAATTAATTTGTGAATTGGTTCTTGTTAGGCTCAGCCATTGCTGTTATCTGAAATAATTTTGCCCAGCATGGGTCAATTACCCAGCGTAAGCTAACTCTACATTTCTTTTTCAGGTGCCTTTGGTGTTGGTTCAGATGGAGTGTTTGTGATGATAGGAGATTCAGTCACTTTACACACTGATGTTGAAATAAACCAGCAAGACCGAATGACGTGGTATTTTAATTACACTCGTATAGCTCTAATCACTGGAAATCAGAGTAAGATCTGTACAGATGATCAGTGTAAAGAGAGATTCAGAGACAGACTGAAGCTGGATCATCAGACTGGATCACTGATCATCACAAACATCAGAACCACAGACGCGGGAGATTATAAACTAAAGATCACCAGCCGCAACATTGCAAATATCTTCAATATTACTGTACTAGGTGAGTCATTTAATATTTAAAAACCAGGTTATGCATGTTTAAATCACATCATTAATGTGTTTATTATATCAATGCCATTCAGAGTGGCAAAAATATACTTTGTATGGAAAAACATAATGCCACATTTTGTAGGCAGTGTCTATTTAATGTAAAGTTGGCTAAAACGATTACTATTTGCATCAAGTTTAAATTGCAGCACTAGCATCATCTTTACACTAAGTGCAAATGCTGATAGATGCTATCTAATGAATGTAAATGAAATAAAATGCATTTTCTACTAAATGCAAAATTTCTGCGCAATGGTGAGTGGAGTTAAAAAAGCTTGTCTATTTGCACTCAATGTAAAAAATACTGTCACGCATAGCTAAGAACTCTTTCTGAATAAGTTTACTTTTTGTTTATAATGTTTATAAGAGCATTTGTGAGATCAGTGAGTGTGTGCAGAACACAACTCTTCTGAGTAGTGACAATTAGTCATTTAAATACCTCTGAATGGCCTTTGCATTTATGCACTCAGCAGATATTTCTGTGATAGTGACTGCTCTGCACTGCTATAAATTAGTTGTTAATGAAAATATGAATGCATCTATCATCCAAACCAAATTAATATAGGTGAGCTGTTAGTTTTTTTGAGATGATGAGAATTGTGTTCTGGTGGAGATGACAGTTTCTCATCAAACCATTACCTTCTATTATCATCTGTTTAAGGATTTGGTGTAAAATAAGTATGTGATGTGCAAAGGTGTCTTTAATGAGGAAACAAAAAATCATTTTATTGTACAGTCCTGTTCCGCATGTACACACTAGGTACGTATTACAATAACCTGGTAATAAATAGATACTAACCCAGAACCTACCCCTAATCCTAACCTTAACCCATGTAGGTACCTTATACTACCAGTACTTTCTTAGATAAGTACATTGTAAGTAAATATACTGTAAAATAAAGTGTAACCAGAATGTATAATCACAATGTTGTGTTCTGTTTGGTTGGTTTTATTTATTTATTTATTTATTTGTATTTTGTATTATTTGTTTGTTTGGTTGTTTTTAATCAAAAAGATCCTCAAGCAGCTGTTGGTTTGTGTTTCAGATGTTCCTGCTGCTCAACAAGATGAAATGAAGAGAAAATCAGTGAAGGAGGGAGAATCTGTCACTTTAGGACCTGGTGTAATGAAAAAAACAAGTGATGTGATGACGTGGTATTTTAATGAGACTCACATCGCTGAAATCACTGGAGATCAGAGTAAGATCTGTACAGATGATCAGTGTAAAGAGAGATTCAGAGACAGACTGAAGCTGGATCATCAGACTGGATCACTGATCATCACAAACATCATCACAAACATCAGAACCACAGACTCTGGACTTTATGAACTGAAGATCAGCACCAGCAGATTCAACATCAGTAGAAGCTTCACTGTTACTGTCACTGGTGAGTATCATTTAGTCTTTCAGTCCATGTGTCCTCTGGAATACAGCTGAATGTTTTTAAAGTCCCCCTGCAGTGAAAATCAAGTTTTTTATGTTGTTTATTTGTCGTTGTGGTGTTTTTAATATGCTTTTAGACAAACCATGTGCCAATCCATTAATCAACACCATTGCATTTCTCCTTAAAACTGTAGTTTCCCAAAGGCTGCCCCAGAAATGCCAGTTGAAACGGCCCTTTTTTTGCTATGTCACAATCCAATAACCAATCATGTCAAGGGATAGATTCCTATCATTAGCATGCAAAATACACCAATAACGATTACCAGCACAAAACCAAAAATAAAATAGAGCAAAAAACCACATGAAGCTGTGGTTTAATGTGAATTTAGATCTGCTAACTTGAATAATAACCTACGGCAGCAGTGTAAAAGTAGTCCGGAGACAGACGCACCTCTCCCGCATTGACATCTGCATGTCACAGGTATATGCTCGCGGGCGCAAATTGGAATCACAAACTAGGCTGCATTTGAGTCTTCAAGGCATTTTGAGGACACAACATCGTCAAGTAACTTTAATGAATATTACAGTATCTACAGTAGTCAACATTTGAAGTGGATCAAAAAAGTTAATCAAAGTTGTCCTAAGACGAGAACGCATTTTGGTTTTAGGTTTTAGGTCAACTTTGATGAAAGGTTTTGAT